AATGATCTAATTTCTTAAAGTTGTCCCTCAAAAGAACAATTTGATTAGCATAACAGCATACGCTTTTAATTCCAGAATTTTAAATGCAAGGGCTGGCAGATATCTGGGGTTTTAGAACAACCAAGGCTATCTAGTAAAACCTTCTCAATAAATAAATAGATATAAATAAATAACAACATATTTAGGAATGTATAGTTAGCATGAGAGATTTGAATTTAATCCACATGGAAAAACCAGGGATGGTAATGTGTGCTTATTGCAGCACTAGAAAAATTTATCAACTTAAAAAAGGAGATGTCCTTCAATGTACAAGAGACTTACGGAACACCAAAAAGTCTAGACCAGAAAAGAAACTCCTCACTCCACATAATAGTCAAAACACTAAATCTAGAGAACGAAGAAAATGTATTAAAAGCAACAAGGGGAAAAGGCCAAGTAATATACAAAGGTAGACCTAACAGAATCATACCACACTTCTCCCAGAAACCATGAAAGACAGAAGGGCCTGGACAAATGTCATGCAGACTCTAAGAGAACACAGAGGTCAAACCAGACTACTATATCTAGTAAAATTTTTAATCAATATATATGGAGAAAAATATATTCTATGACAAAACTAAACTTAATACCTACACAGCAACCCTGCTCTATAGAAGATACTAGAAGGAAAACTCCAATCTAACAAAATCAACTACAGCCAAGAAAACACAGCACAAAGATAACTTCACAACAACAACAAAAAAAATCAAAAGAAAACAAGCAAACAAACACACTATGACCACCAACTCTACAATAAACGGAACTAACATGCATTGGTCACTATTATCTATCAACATCAATGGACCCAATTCTTCAATAAAAAGACACAGACTAACAGAATGGTTGTGGAAACATGATCCCAAATTCTGCTGCATTCAAGAAACACACCTTTGCAACAATGGCAGACACTACCTCAGAGTAAAGGGCTGGAAAAAGTTTTTTGAAGCAAACAGACCCAGAAAACAAGCTGGAGTAGCTATCCTAATATCTGATGAAATAGACTTTCAACCAAAATTAATTAAAAAAGTTGAGGAGGGACACTTCATTCTCATCAAAGGAAAAATCTACCAGGAGGCCATCACAATCCTGAACAACTTTGCCCCCCCAAAAAAAGAGCACCTGCATTCGTAAATAAAACATTATTAAAGCTCAAATCACACATCGCTCCCAACACCTTAATAGTGGGAGACTTCAACACTCCACTCTCACCAAGGGACAGATCACCTAGACAGAAGCTAAATAGGGAAATAATGACACTTACAGAGGTCCTAAATCAAATGGACCTAATAGATGTCTACAGAACCTTTCACCCAAACTCAAAAGAGTATACCTTCTTTTCAGCAACCCATGGAACTTTCTCCAAAATTGACCATATAGTCAGACACAAAGCAAGCCTCAACAGATACCAGAAGATTGAAATAATCCCTTGTATCCTATCACACCACCATGGCCTAAAACCAGACCTCAACAACAACAGAAATAACAAAAAGCCTACACATGCATAGAAACTGAACAATTCTATACTCAGTGACAGCCGAATCAGGGTAGGAAAAAAAAAAAAAAAAGAAATTGTAGACTTCCTAGAATTCACTGAAAATGAAGGCATATAACTTACCCAAATTTATGGCACACAATAAAAGCAGTGCTGAGAGGAAAGTTAGCAGCACTAAGTCCTGATGCGACCTTATAGGCTAGGGTCAAATAGAAGGGAAGGAGGTCCTCCCCTATCAGTGGACTAGGGGAGGGGCATTGAGGGAGAAGAGAGATGCTGGGTGGAACTGGAGATGAGGGAGGGAGTCACAGCCAGAATACAAATTGAATAAATTTTAATAAATGCTAAGAAAAAAAGAAATCACAAACTAGGTGGACACAGTGGCACACACCTGTAATTCCAACACTTGGGAATGCAGAAGCAGGAGGATCTCTGTCAGTTGGAGGCCAGCCTGTTCTACAAAGCAAGCCCAGGACAGCCAAGGTTACACCGAGAAACCGTGTCTCGAAAAAAAAATCACATAATACAGGTTCTAAAGAGCAGCCTTGCTAGGCCAGAGAGGAGGACATTGCAGCCAGTCCCAAAGAGACTTGACAAGCTAGGGTCAGAAGGAAGGGAAGGAGGACCTCCCCTATCTGTGGACTTAGAGAGGGGCAGGGAGGAGATGAGGGAGGGAGGGTGGGGTTGGGATGGAAATGAGGGAGGGGGCTACAGTTGGGATACAATGTAAATAAACTGTAATTAATATATATAATTAAATTTTAAAAATTATTATCTGACAAAAAAAAATACAGGTTATAGTACCAGTTCTGTTGTTACTCAAAGAAATGACTTTGGGAAATATAGATCAACTCTTTTCTTCTGTGTTTTCTCATCTATAAAACATCAAGTCAGCTTTGACAGTCACTCTGAACATTAATATTCATCATGAAAATAATATAATATCAGAAACTACCTAGTTATTTAAATAAAATAATTAAATCACATGGATGGAATGATACATAACTACTGAGAAAGTTTATTTTCAAAGAAAATCCATTGATTCCAGACATTCCCAACCTGTCTTTGTGTTTGTAAGATGGAATTTCACCACACTGCCCAGACCAGTATCAAGCCCTAGCCTGATCCTACAACTTTGAATTCATTTGTCCACTGTTCCTGAGGTCATTTTTATGCTTGTGGTACTAGGCACCTAACTTCTGGAGTGACAGGCAAGTGCTCTGTCAATTAGGCTAAATAAATACACACACCCCCAGCTCCATTTTAAAAATTTAATTAATTTTAAAAAAACTGTGTTAATTTACAGGATTAATAACTCCCTAAATATTACAGAAACACTCTTAGAAACAGCTTCTCCTGTCCAGGGTGTGGTACATGCCTTTAATCACTGTGCGTGGGAGGCTCTGGCTCTTAAATAGTTTGCTGTTTACGAGATGGCCAGAGCGCCTAAATTGCAACAAACAAAAGTAGCTTTTCTTTTGTTTGGACCCAATTTAGATACTACAAAGTCAGCCACCTGGCTGATGAAAGCAAGCACTCTCCACCACCAACCTCCAGCACTAGCATTTGCTTCTTTCCAGACAAATGAAGTTTAAAACTGGCACACATTTAATCCCAGCGCTAAGGATATAGAGGCCAGCCTGCTCTACATAGCTAGTTCCAGGTCAGCCAAGGCTACATATGGAGACCCTGTCTTAAATCATAAACACACACAGAAAGAGAGATACAGAGACAGGGAAAGAGACAGAGGGAACTCAAACAGTAAAATCTGCATCTAGCCCAAGTCCTTTTATGAAATATCAAGCAGAAAGGTTGATTGAAAAACCACATTTTGCAAACATTAAAAACAGTTTGCCAGTACATGTCATGAAAATTCTAAAGCAGAATGAATTCGGAGAATTCTCTATCAAAGGACCACAAATCATGAGGCCTTTCCTAGTAACATGCCAAAAGACACCTCATTCCGCTTTTCAAGGATCCGAAAATTTTACAGTTGTTCCCAGACCGAACATCTGTCTCCTAAAAAACAAACGTCTTTATTTTAACCATCAAAGCACCAAAGCTCTATTTAGGTTCTCGAAATCACCTCCTTAGATTCAGAACTTAAAAAAAAAAAAGAAAAGAAAAGAAAGAAAAAAGAAAAAAAAAAAGAATATTAGTCCTTCCTTATCTTAGCCTGTCTTCACCAGGACAAAGAGGGGATAAAAAGGAGGGTCAAGTCATCCCAGAAAGTCCATGCCAAGTATTTAGTTAAGCGGCCAAACTGCAAAAGCTCACAGAAGCTGGCACCCTAAGAGAAGTCCCATCTGAAACACCAGGGTTGCTTCCATTTGAGATTGCAAAGTACAGGCTCATTCTTCCCCAAAAGAAAATTCTCTCCAGTCACAAGTGCCTGTCAATAGTCTTAGCTGAACACCACTCAAATATACAAAAAAAAAAAAAAACATTTTAGAGCTTGCGTCCAAATGGACATGCAGAGGCACTTTAGGGTCCATGCCCAAAGGGGTGGTAATCAGCTTGAGATACCTCTATCTTCTTGGGTCGGTAATTTCTAGAAACTGCTTTATAGCACCTTGAAACTGTGGAAGGCACTAGCCCAGATTTGATTCCCCTGGTGGCCCATAGTCTCCTACCACCTCAAGACCCGGAAAACCCACAAACCTAAATTCTCATTTAAACCACCCGGACGCCATGTCACAAGAAATGCTCAGGGGTCCCAGAAACGCTTTGAATGCCAAGTATGTGAAGAACCTTAGGATCCCTTCAAGTCCCCAGACTTGGGTCCCCTCTAGCCCCAGGAAGCCACGAATTGTGGCATGTGTTGGGAGCCTTGGCAAGTCACAAAAGCCATCTCTAGGTGAGCTCGTGCACACGCGCGCGGGGGGGGGGGGGTGTTTCACGCCACTGCCTGAGGAACCCAGAAGCTTGCCCTGAGAGCCTGTGGAAGGCCCGAACTGTAAAAGATGAGGCCGAAGCCCGAGAGTGAAGGGATACTACCCCCTCAGGTTGCGTTTCTGGGACTCCATGACACCAAGAAATCTCCAGCCCCCAGCCATAGCTTCACGTCGCCGCCCCCCCCATCCCATCCGTCCTCCCCACCACCTCCAACACCACAAATCTCTGCTTTACCCTCCTACCCCATCGCACCCTCAGGAAAGAAATGAGTTCCTCAGGTGAACCTCGGGGGAGGGGGGCTTGGTTACCTCAAGCTCCTAGAAACCTGGGAGCCCACCCCCACCCCCCGGAGAGGCACCCAAGTAGGAGCAACAACCAGTTCTCATACACATAATCAACGAATTCTGGCTAGTCAGACAATACAAGTCCGTCGCCACAAAGAGCGAGCTGGCGGCCTGAGGACGAGCTAAATTTCGCTTTGGCCGAGGCTGCTGTCTAATCAGGCGCTAGCGAGGCAAAAGAAAGGGGTTCTTACCTTCCTCCCCAGACATCCTGCAGTAGCGAAGCCTTCCACTCACTGCCTGGATAGCGCCTGGACCGAAATCCGGCGAGCCTTCTTCAGAAAGAAGGCACCGAACGCTCGAAGGCGCCAACGCACGAAGGCGCCACGGGCTCTGAGGGGCGGGGGCGGGGCCACCAAGGCGCGCAAACTAGACTTCTGAAGCTGCGCAGTAGTGTCTAGCGCGCTGTAACTGTTGGAGGCAGGGATAACGCCAACTTTTGGCGGTTAACCACCCTCCCCCATCATTTAAAAAAATTTTTGAAAAAAAACCGTCCATCTCTTGTACATAGCACAGCCAATAGCCAGCTACACCGCCTTGACGAAGTGAACTTTGAAAGTAAATAACAAAAAGTGCCTACAGATTCCTCCTAGGTCATCGCACTGCTTAAGCTGTACTGTTCTGTTTGCCGTTTTCTAGATAGCGCTTTGTGCTTCATTCCTCCATGAAATAATGGCTATGATGTATATACTATTCTCTATAGTTCTAAAAAGCCTGGAGGTATTAGCGTCCCATTGTAAAGATGAAAAAACTGAAGTTAGGGGCGCTTGGTGGCAGAGACCTTTAATCCCAGAACTTGAGAGGCAGAGGCAGGTGGATCTCTGTGAAATCGAGGCCACCCTGGTCTACGTACTGAGCTCCACGACAGCCAGACCTACACAGAGCAGAAAAACAAAAAACAACAACAAAAAAAGAAAAAAAAAAAGAAAACTGACGCTGAGAGAGGAGAGTTTGATCTGCTCAAAGCTATAATGCTGTGCAGTTTTAATTTATTTTTTTCACAGACCAGGTCCCATTATTCAGTCCAGGCTGACCATGAGCTCCTACATTGAAATGAGCCTTTTTGCCTCACACCACCTAAGTAGTTGTGTCTGCATTTGCACCATAACTACTCCTATTCCCTAGTTACTTTACTTCCATCTTAGTTGTGTCCAGAAATTTCTTCTATTTTTCAAAGCCTTTATTATTCCTACATCTGCCTGTTTCAATGTGTGTTTATGGGGTTTGATGGATTTTATTTTTTGTTTTGTTTTGTTTTGTTTTTTAAACTCTTCTATAGCCTGGAGTTTGAACTTCTGATCCCCCTGCTTTTTTGACTGAGGAGTCGTGAGATTTCAGGCATGTGCCTCTACACAGAGCTCTGTTGTGATAGCCAGCACCAAAACACTTATACAACACCCTGTAAGAAGGGGTCACTCAAAAAAATAAAAAATAAAAATAAAAAAATAAAAAAAGAAGGGGTCACTCCTCTAGGGTCCCACAGAAAGTTACCTCCACCTCCCCCAAAGCTCTTAAATTACATTGCTTTATATTAAAATATTTTTGCCAACAGGCCTCTCACTAAGGTCCTGGTGGGAACTTACTTATATGTTATCAAGTATAAAACAATTTTTTTCCTGTTCCCTTGTGTAGTCAATTATGTGATGACAATTTTAACTCTGTCTGCTCATCTGGGAAAACAGTAAGAATTTCATTCCTGGTTAGAAAGAAATCTGTATTGTCTTGGGTAGAAATACAGAGTTGTGGCCTACCGTGAAGACACATCCGTAATTTCAACAAGTAGAAGGGAAATCCGGGAACATTGCGAGTTCCAGGACAGCCTGGACTAGATAGCAGGGCCCTCCAGCAAGGAATAAGGATTGTTGAGTAGTAATAACACGGTAATCCTCAAAGCCCAGGATCCATCTACTGTCAAAAAGGTACCACAAAGAAATACATAAATAAAATGAATATTTCTTTGTCATTGTGTGAGAGGGTTAAAGTGTACAGGAGGGTTATGGCATGCTGAGTGCTGGAAATTGTCTCTCAGGTCGAACTTTACCCGTTAAATAATTTTTCTTTTTTGCTAATGGCACAGCTCCAGCTTCGGTTGGTAGAAAGCTCTGGAGAGAAATTTTAAGATGAAAGTGGCTTTGCTCCTGATGCCATGGGTTCTTTGGGGAAGCTGTGGCAGAATGCAGCTTTCCCCACATTGTAAAGAATAAATATCTGGCAATTGCTTCCAGTCCCTTGCAGAAAGTATATTTCTGGAAACCTCGGGAAGATATGTTTCTAAAAAATTCGAGAGAATGAATATGCAGCAGATTCTACCAGTATAATTCCACAGTACCATGCCTGCTCTTCTGTAAGTCATAGTTGCACACCCTTGGAAAAGCTACCTTAGCCCTAAAGGTAGTACCTGTCTTGTTTTGTTATTTGTTTGACAGATGAGAGAGGCCTTTAACTTGAAAAGGCCTCAGCTCTTTTAAAAACCCTTTTAAAACTTTTTTAAAACTGTGTTACCCTCCCCCGAATGGGGGAGCAGCCTTGCCAGTCCACAGAGGAAGACTTTGCAGCCAGTTCTGATGAGACCTGATAAGCTAGGGTCAGATGGAATGGGAGGAGGACCTCCCCCTTATCCGTGGACTTGGACTTGGCATAAGAGGAGATGAGGAAGGGAGGGTGGGATTGGGAGGGGAGGAGGACAGAGACTATAGCTGTAATACAAAGTGAATAAACTGTAATTAATATAAAAAATAAAAATCTAATTAAAAACTGTTTTATGTGTACATATGTGCATATATAACACTTACATGCAGGAGCCTGCAGAGGTCAAAAGAGGCATCAGATCAGATCCCCTGAAACTGGAGTTGCAGACTATTTTTATCAGCCATCTGGGTGTTGGAAGCCAAACTGGGGTTTTCCGCAATAGCTGCATGAGCTCTTAACTGCTAAGCCATCTCTCCCTTTCTCATAATATTGAATGTTGGTATTACATGTGTATGACACCATACCCAGATTACTGCATGTTTCTTGCAGGTGTAATTCACATACTGTTTAGAGGTTTCTTTAATTATTACAAGCCAGTTACTCATTATTTCAGTCTTCCATTTTTGCTGTTGTTGTTTATGATAGCAGTTTCTGGAGTCCAAGTTGGCCTTGAAGGGTAACAGCCTCCTGAATATTGAAGGAATAGCCATGATTCCTTTTACCCTTCTTTAGTACTTGTTTCTTACAGCTGGAGTTCATAATTCTTTAGAATTTTGTTCTTCTTCCCTCGCTCCCTCCTTTTCTCCCCTTCTTTCTTTATTTTTCTTTTCTGTTTTCTTTCTTTCTTTCTTTGACACAGGGTCTTAATCTATAGCCCGGACTGGCCTTGAGGCCTTGAGCTCACCTTAAGTTCGTAAGTGCTGAGATTATAAACAGGTGCTGCTACATCTGGCTTTTTAAAAGTTAAGGTGTGTAGCATATGTACTTGAACTTGTTTACATGTGCCTGAAGGTCAGAGGTCGACACTGAATGTCCTCTTTAATTTCTGTCCATCTCTTTTGAGACGAAGTCTGTCAGAGTACATGGAGCTCATTGATTTAGCCACACTGTCTGAACAGGAAAGTCCTCTAGTCTCTAAGTCCATAGCTCTGGGATCCCAGCTGCTTCACATGGACTTTCCCAGGGGTACTGTGAGAAAACAACTACGTTTCCTAGCAGGATCTGAATTCGGGTCTTTATGTTTATACAACCAGCATATACAACTGAGTCACTTCTTAGCTCCTTACATTAATTCTCTAATAATTGCTTTTATTGCCCAAAAGATCTGAATCTTTATGCTAAAGAAATTTTCTAAAAATTTTACAGTTGGGAATCACTTCTTATATTTATTATGAAAATTTTAGAAGTGGCCTAACGGTACAGAAAGTAGAATGATAAACCTCCAGGTCTGTATTACCAACCAACAGCAATTTCAGTGCCTACTCCAATTTTCTGTTCAATTTAATATTTCTTCACAGTAAGCTTTCATCTCTAAAGTAATGTGTGTTTGTTCTCCATATTAGCATAACCTGGTCCGCCCTTTTGGATTTTCTTCTGGCATTTAGTACTAAGTAGGAACCCATGGTTTGCTCATGGAATATGATTAAAATTTCAAGTTACTCAACAAACTCCTTCACTTTTTTTCTGTTCAGTCATCTGTACGCATTTACTTGGCTCTTCTCCTGTGAATGAAGGAAAGAAACCAATTTCCTTACTGTCATTCTTATGTCCATCTTTCATTTCCAGGCAGGCCTAAAATGCATTAACCATTAACCTGAGTATGGCATAACAATAGTGACCAATAAATAAGGGTGATTTTGCAACACAACAGACAGAACAGATGTTTGGTCAATAACCAGGGTGGTCAGGGACCTTTGAAGTTCTGCTATTATGTTGGACTGGCTAGTGAAGAAAAGCCATCCCCATAAACGTAACTAACCCATATTCTAAAATATTATAATATTAAAGGATGGCATAAAATCAGCAAAAAGCATCCCCTGCCTCAGACTGAGACAAGAAAAAAACATTTGTATTCCAAATAAAAATTATTAATACTTGGTCACATGAAATGAGTGACAGAAAGTATGACATGTTCATCAATCTTGTGTCAGCTGAAGTTATTCTTTATTTAACCTAAAACTAGATCCCACCTTTTCCTATCCCCTTTGTGAAAATTCCCATAGAAAAGTAACCAACCCTGTTCTAAAGCCCTCCCCAATCATTTGCAACTGCCAACCAGGATGTAGTGTTTCTGTGTTCTTTGCCTTTTTAAAAAATATATATTTATTTTTTATTACTGTTTCTTCACTTTGTACCTGACCTGTAGCCCCCTCCTTTGTCCCCTCCTAATTCCACCCTCCCTCTCTTTTATCCTCCCATACCCCTCTCTCAGTCCACTGATAGGGGAGGTCCTCCTCTCCTTCCCTCTGACCCTAGTCTATCAGGTCTCATCAGGAGTGGCTGCATTGTCTTCCTCTGTGGCCTGGTAAGGCTGCCCCCCCCCTCAGAGAAGGAAGATCAAAGAGCCAGCCACTGAGTTCATGTCAGAGACAGTCCCTGTTCCCGTTACTAGGGAACCCACTTGGACACTGAGCTGCCATGGGCTACATCTGTGCAGAGGTTCTAGGTTATTTGCATGAATGGCCCTTAGTTGGAGTATCAGTCTCAGAAAAGACCCCTCTGCTCAGATATTTTGGTTCTGTTGCTAGTCTTGGGGAGCTCCTGTCCCCACCAGGTTTATCCCCCCCCCCCTTCTTTCATAAGATACTGTCCAATGTTCGGCTATGAGTCTCAGCATCTGCTTTGATATACTTTGATATACTGCAGGGTAGAGTCTTTCAGAGGCCCTCTGTGGTAGGCTCCTGTTCTGTTCCCTATTTTCTCCCTCTTCTGATGTCTATCCC